GGTACTTGTAGTACTTGGACTTGCCGTACTGGTACTTGTAGTACTCGTACTCATTGTTGATGCTATTTTAGAATAAAGTCATATAAAGCAGTATAGTAAGAAACAATAAACCGTCTACTTATATATATATATCTAAATCTATTCCTAACTATACTTGAATCTACAAGACTATGTATATACAAATGTATGTATATGTATATATTAATATAAGTGCTTATCTTCGTAGTGATATTGTGAATTCGATATCCGTTTATATTCGAACTCGAATTAGGCATCTCATGGATTCAGACCAATATCAGATCAAACTCTGAGCACTCATTTATATTGCAATTCTCGGTACAAAATCTGAAGTTTTAAACAGAACTAACTGTATTTATACATAAAAAGCAAACCATGTTTTCTAATGTCATATTAGCATCTTGAGAGTGGGTGTGGATGTGGGTATAGTATTATATTCATCCCGCACCTATATTCACACTCACATACACATCCTACACGCATTCCCATACCTATCCGCACTCATGTATCTTGAATTATATCTAGAGAAAATAAGAACTCACTAGATGAAGTAGTCGTAGTTGTAACATTGCTAATTGGCAGTTGAAAAAAGTAAAATGAACTTGCCGAATAATTCATCAGTGAAAATGATCTCGCGTTAGAAGATGTCGAGAACATTTCACATGTCTCATTATTCTGGAAACAGTTCAAGAATGAAAACGCTGTTGTGTTTAGCATCATTGCACACAAGCATTCATTGCAAGTACCATTCATTGATTTTGAATTAGGATCGAACATTAACAAAGAAACATCATAAATGACGCCAATGGAAACGGGGCCACTCGAAATAGTTTCGAAATGTTGAAAAAGTAAAATGTAAAAGAATAATTTCCACATTTAATTGTGGCAGTGAATGAAAAATGAGTAGAAGTACAATACATCAATCGATTATTAAAAAGTCTCAGTTTGTTTAGAAATCAGTTTGCCGATGAAAAGCAAACTGATCCGGTCGTTTATTTTCTTAAAAGAAAAGGCGGTGTTCAAATATTTTATATAAGTGGAGAATCGATCGATCGACAATGTGTATGAATAAATTAGTAAGAAAAGAAAATCAACGTAGTATGTTGTTTGATTTCCTGTCGTTGATTGGGTGTTAGTCAAACAAGTTTTGTACATAGAAAAAGAATATTCATTTTATCTTTCGAAAAGGAAAATTGAAGATTTTTCTCTCGTCGCACTGTAAACGAAGAATAACACGGACAGTTTTATCAACCTTTACCATTTGCACAAGAAAAACTAAAAAGAATTCACCTAAAAACGTTCCTTGTAATGCGAACAGAAAAAATTGTTTTTTTTTTTTCAATTGTATTTCTCACATTTTTAAGTATAGCGACTCTGTAGAAGGTGTGTGGGATGAAGAAAGAACACTAACACCCACACCCATTCTCAATATGGATTATAATCCTCGCATTCAAGATTTTATTTGACCGAAAGATAAAATTAACATTGGCGGTTTCTGTTTTTTTTTTATTATGTTTAGTGATAAGAAATTTTATATTACTCACATTTACTTTTTCCTACTACGAGATAAAGTTTTTGCAATTACATGAGTCACATATGATTTTCATGTTTTTTATGGTTATGGTGAATAAGATAAGAGGTATATAAACTGAAAAGAAAAAAGAAAGTATATATACTCAGGATCAATATCAACGATGTTTCCAGTGCCTACGTCATATGCTAGTGAATCGTTTTGTTCAAATGATATTCTTTCATGGAAATTTCCTAATACTGTTGGTTGTTACACATTAATTGGCCGTTCAAGAGCAGACGATGCAACTAGTTTATTCATTCCTGAACTCGATATATTATTGGACTGCGGTTGTTCAGTTACAGTTACTCGTCCTCTTCACATTTTTATTACACATACTCACTTGGATCATTGTCTTGATATTACTAGATTATGGGGTAAAAATGTAATACCGAAAGTTTATCTTCCTATATCCGCAGTTCAGCCTATGCAAGACTATATTCGAAAATGTCAAGTTCTTACGATGTTTAAAGAAACTGATCCAGATCCAGCCAGATGGGTACCTAGCTTCCAGTTGATAGGTGTTAAACCTGACGATTTATTAGACTTTTCCAAAACAATGAAAATTTGTGTATTTGAAATGGATTATTCAGTGCCTTGTTGTGGTTATGGATTTTATGAACGTCGAAAAAAATTGAAACAAGAATACAAACATTTATCCAATATAGATATTGGAAAGATGAAAAGAGAAAATAAAAATCTCGAACTTAATGAAGAACGACTAGTTCCATTATTTGCTTTTATGGGCGATACAACAGTATCGATATTCAACAGATATGAAAATGAACTTTTTCAGTTTCCATTAATTATTGTTGAATGTTCGTATATCAATAGTGAACTTCATAAAAAGGCAGCTGCAGAAGGCAAACATATAATTTGGGTAAGTTACAACTACATTTTTTTCATTTAATGCATTAGAATATTTTAGGATGATCTTCAACCTTTCGTCATCAGATATCCAAACGTTATTTTCGTACTAATTCATTTTTCACATCAATACAAAAGAACAGAAATACGAGACTTTTTTCAAACACTAAATCTACCTAATGTTATACCATTTATTTAACACGATCAATCTGACGATAATCAATGATGAGTCTCAATATTTTTTTTGTTAATAAATTAAATAGGAAAACACTTTCCGAAGAATAGTGGTTAACTATTATTACTTTCACAAGAGGAATGAAAAAAATAACAGTCACTCACAAGTTATTCATGTAGGTTATTCATTATAATGTAATGCAACAGAACGAAAGAAAAAGAATAAGATTACATTTTCGAACTATTTTAACAACATAATAAATATTCACAAGCTATTACTTGAAATGAATAATCTTTCCAATCAAATTCCTACACTAAAAATGAACATGTATTGAATTTTAATAATTCACTTCTGTCTAATATTCGTTGATGATCACGGTAGAATTTCTTATTTATTTGTTCACATTATAATAAAGGTTTAATTAAGACCGAAAAAATTTTGAAAATCTCCAAGCGATAGTGACTCGCTGCAAGTCATTTTTTATAATTCATCCACATGTGACACATTTCGAGTTATATGCTATAAATGAATACCCAATATAGAGAATGTACATTGGTGACATAAATAAAAAGTGACTAGTGAGTGCCCAGATTCATAAATTCGATGGGATCTTGAGGGTAGATGTGGGTGTAACGTAGTCTTGTATTAGTTGCTCAATCAAAGGAAATTCAAATGAACAAATCCTAATATTGTTTTGACTGATATTGATCTTATTTGAAGAAAATTATGTAATTATTAGAATAAAAAGTTTCATAATTAAACAAGATTATTTTGAGGATGTGGATGTGGTGTAAATATTTAGTTTATTATACCCCCACACCCTCGATGATATTTGTGACAAACTTATCTATAATTCATTAATTAAACTATGATCATTTTATTTGTTTTGAGTAAATATTTTCATCTTAAATTTATTTTTAAATACCAATCATCTCTTCTCCAAAAATATACAATAAAACTATGAACTCAAAATGAAAACTCTACTTTTCTTCTACAAAACTACATAGTTCAATTAATTACTTGATTCTCATTCAAATTATCAGTTAAATGTGGTTTATATTATAATGAAGAGGTTGATTATTTATTTTAGTTATGAAAATAAAACGCACACAAAAACAAAACGTCAGATATATGATTCAATGTTTTATATATATAGTTATAAAGTGAAGAAATGATTTCCAATCGACTTAAATTCTTGGAAGTTTAACCACTTGGCCGTTATTTGTACTAAGTAGGTACAAATTCAGATCAGAATCAAAAGCAAGAGCCACTGGTTTTTTAAGTGAAGGTACAGAATTATTATCTTCAGCAACAACAATACCAACTGTTGAATTAGCACAATACACAACTACTCGATCATTATCTCTATCAGCAACATATAAATTACCATACGGATCCAAAACCATACCCATTTGATTGTTAAGAGTATTATGACTATCATTGACCGGTTGAAGAGTCATACTTGGAGTTGATGCACCAAATGTCCATAAATATAATGCATGAGCACCTTGATCACTGATATATATTTGATTTGATGAATTCGGTGCGAGTAAAATATCATAATCATTATTCAGAGTACTACTACTGATCAGAAGAGTACCGCTTGTTGCATTTTGAGCCCATTCTACTAATCTTGTATTCCCCATATCAAGAATATAAAGATTTGAATTATTATCAACATCAATAGCTGTTGGTTGCTTTAGATCAGTCAATGCATTTGTACTAGCAGTCGTTCCAGCAACAGTGGTGCCAGTACTAGAGCCTGAAGCAAATCTTTGTACGCGGTTATTGCCATTATCAACGACATACATAAATCCATTTGTGTCAAAAGTAAGATCTATGGGAGTTTTGAGCAATGTAGATGTTGAACCTTGAGTGCCTGTACTATCTCCAGCCACTGTCACACCTGTTATGGCACCTTGAATCCATTTCTGAATGCGGTTGTTATCATGATCACAAATATATAGAGTATTATTATTATCGATGTACAAACAACTTGGATTTTTAAGTTGATTCGCATTTGAACCTGATGTTGTTCCAGCAACGATTTGACCTGTTTGATTCCAACGCAGACTGTTACCTTAAATAGTAGATTAAAATTTATACGTATCTTATCATTTTTATATAAAATAACGAACAAGAACTAAATGTTGCTGCAGTTGTCGATGCTAAATAAAAACAAATAAAAATTATTAATAAATAAAAATTTAAAATTAATAAATCTGGGTGATAAGGTGTGAATGTGGCTGACATATCAATCTCGCATCTCATTTACACTTATTTCTAGTATATGTTTGATTATTTAATATGAGATAAAGAGACTATTTTTACTTACTCGTTGTTGATGTGCTTGTGCTTGAACTTGTTGAAGTTGTTGCTTAAATAAAATAAAACCATAGAAAAAGCTATTTTTTTTAGAAATATATTAATTTACAGGTTGATGTCGTTGTGGATGTACTTGTAGTTGAACCTTAAAATACAAGGAAAATTCTGAATGATGAAACATGAATATATATATGAAATGATTACTTGAGGTACTCGTTGTTACTGTTGTTTCTTTATATATCATAATAATAATTTTTTTATATTTTTTTTTAAATTCTTTTCTCTTACTTGTAGTTGTAGTCGTGTTTGTAGTAGTCATCTTTGGTTGTACCACTAATAAATAATAGAAAATTATTAGTAATTTAAGAATAGTTGTAAAAAAATGGAAGAACATTATTGGCATCATCATTAATAATAAACTGATATTGAAATATTATTAATCACTCTGAATGTATTATCATTATTTTAACTTCTATTACAAATGTTATTTAGTATTTCGTTCTATATGAATGTTCTATGTAAGTTTGGGACCTAGTATTTGCTGTTTTGTGGAGATCAGTACTTGCAGTATGTAATATAAAGGGTTCGTCATCATATTGAACAGAGCAGTCATCCTATTCCGCAATGTTGAACATTTCAGGAACCAGTTCCGCTCCGGAATCGATTCCGTTCAATTCCGGGAACTCGATCGACACATAATATCCGATACCCACTCGAAAATTGATCGAGTTCCGTCCAATTCCGGAATTGGTAGGAATTCCGTATAATTCCGGAATTGGTAGGAATTCCGTGTAATTCCGTAATTAGTAGTAGTCCACGCAATTCCGGAATCGGTGGGAATCGGTAGGAATTCCCAGGAATTCCGTCCAATTCCACTGAATTCCGTCTTGATGCAATTCCCGGAATTCCGTAACGGAATTAGATCGTATCCAAACGGGATAACTTATCAACACAACACAACAAATGTGGGTGAGGTGGATGGTGTGATTCCGGTACGGAATTCCGGAATCGGAACCAATTCCCGCAATTCCGGAATCGTTAGGAATTCCGTGCAATTCCGGAATCGGTCGAACTCGATCAATTTCGACTGGGTGTCTTATGTTGTGTGTCGATCGAGTTCCCGGAATTGGACGGAATCGATTCCGGTGCGGAACTGATTCCTCCAATGTTCAACATCGCGGAATAGGATGCATTCTCATTGAACATTTAGGGTGAACAGAAATAAAAAATACTATGAGTAGTTTACTTTTAGTTATTAAGAGACATCCTTTATGGTACCTAGAGTGTATCGAAGTACTTATACAGATAATAAATTCTCATGAGATAAATAACTTTCAAAAAAGCAAGTCTTAATAGTTCCTAATTATACTTACTACTAGTAGCAATAATTGCCGCAACTATCGCAAGTAGGATCCCACCAATTACAGCAGCCATTATAGCACAGCAACAACATCGTGTGATTTTGAATTGTGCATTTCTTTTTTATTGCATTTGATTTAGATCAAAATTAGAAAAAAATATTGTGTGAATAAATTATTTACCTTTTTCTTTTTTTATTATTTTCATTTTCTGTCTTGTGAAAGCGGTCGCTAAACGGATTAAAACTACTATAAGATTTACCAACATTTTTCTTGTTAAACGAAATTTGACCTTTGCTTGTATTTAATCCTAACAAACCATGTTCTGATGTGAAGGATATATCTCCTGGCTGAAAAACAAAAATACTTTGAAATAATAGATTAATATATAGGGGTGAGAGTGTGTTTGAAGATATTGATAAAATCCACACCTATCCACCCTAAATTGATAGTCAACTTACCTGTTGCATATGAACAAATGCATCATGAGTCTTGTTCTGATCACCCATAGATAAGCTCCTATTTTTATGATCATTTGCCAACCCACTTATATTTTTCTGATTATTCGATAATGAATTTATGTCTTGTGCATGAACTAACACAGATTTTCTATGATTTAAATTTTTAGATAATAAAGTTGTTTTACCTTTATTGCTTGATGGTCGAGGTACTTTTTGCACATGAACTGTTGATTGTCTTATACGATTTTGATTGATAGATGGTCGACTTGTTCTTTTTACCTTTACAGATGAATTCCTAGTTGTCTTCGTTGGTATAGATAATCGCTTCTCCTATTATAAAATTAGACTTTTAGTAGGCATCTTTCTAGTTACCACTAATGATATACCTGTAATATTTTTCCATTAGTTTTAGTTGCTACGATTATGTTTGATAATGATTCCATTTGAAAATCTATAGATATATTCGATATCTAAAAAGCATTTTATTTATGTTTGAATCGTGACAAAATTCGATAATATCTAGACAAAGATGAGTTTTAAATAAATATACCTATATGAAAGTTGAGTAATCGCATCTATCTTTGAAATGGCTTACACTTGGTTGATGAATCCTTCGACGTATATTCCCCTAAAGTTTACATCGTCTTTTAGTTGGCAGAGTCTTAGTATTTTAGTTCTGTAGCGCTCGATCAGTTATGTTAGAATTCGAAGCATATGAGAGTGTGAGTGTAAAGTAAAGTCATTACTTAAACTTTTTCCAGAAATGATACTATTATCATGATATTGGATTTTTAGGGTTGACTCTTACCTTTCAAGAAAATGATTGTTGGTATCGGTATATAACAGATGAAAAAATATTTTAGTATGTTGTCTGCCGTGATTCTTTATACGATTGTTTGCTTGTATGACGAATTTCTTCTCACAACTCCTGACATATATATTAATTTTTTTCCTCCATCAAAATAGTACAATCTAACAGAAGCCGTTTGTCATGTATTCAACAATAAAGCTTTAATTTCGATTGAATTCATATTCTTTACATTTGATTATTGAAATATATAATTAAAGAGAAGACTTTCGAATTTTGTTTCAAATTTCAATAAGAAATTTAATCACAATATAAATTAATAATATATTGTAAATGAATACATACAAGAGTGCTACTGCGAACAAAAATATCTTGATAGATAGTAGAAAAAAAGGTGTGGATGTGGTAGAGTTTGTGTGGGTACCATATATACGATACACCCGCACTCTCAAGAATAGATACTCGGGTGTTTCTCTACTATTAAAGACATAAGCAAATATTCTAAGATTTCTTTCATTTCAGACTATTTTATATATTAGCTGTCTATAGTGAACGAAAATATCATCGATTTATTATTTGATCGTTACCACTAAATGATTGATATTTTAATGAAGAAGTTATTTATTTATTTTAGGTATGAAAATAAAATGCACACAAAAAATGTCAGATATATGATTTAATGTTTTAAATAATCTCCGATCGACTTAAATTCTTGAAAGTTTAACCACTTGTCCATTATTTCCAGTGACCACGTACAAATTGAGATCAGAATCAAAAGCAAGAGCCACTGGTTTTTGAAGTGAAAGTACAGAATAATTATCTTCAGCAACAACAATACCAACTGTTGAATTAGCACAATACATAACTACTCGATTATTATCTCTATCAGCAACATATAAATTACCATACGGATCTAAAACCATGCTCTCTGGGTTGTTAAGAGTATTTCGGCTATCGTTCACTGTTTGATAAGTCATACTTGGAGCTGATGCACCAAATGTCCACAAATATATTGCATCATCAAATTGAACACTGATATATATTTGATTTGATGAATTCGGTACGAGTAGAATATCATTGGCATTATTCAGAGTATGATCACTGATCAGAAGAGTACCATTTGTTGCATTTGGAGCCCATTCTACTAATCTTGTATTCCCCATATCAAGAATATAAAGATTTGAATTATTGTCAATGTCAATAGCTGATGGTCGATTAAGGCCAGTCAATGCACTTGAATAACCAGTTGTTCCAGCAACAGTTGTGCCATTAGTAGAGTTTGGAGCAAATCTTTGCACGCGATTATTATTAGAATCAACCACATACATAAATCCATTTTGATCAAAAGTAAGATCTGTGGGATTTTTTAGCAATGTAGATGTTGAACCTGAAGTACCTGTACTACTTCCGGCTACTGTCACACCCGATGCACTACCTTGAATCCATTTCTGAATACGATTGTTGTTCTGATCACAAATATATAGAGTATTATTATTGTCGATGTATAAACATGTTGGATTCCTTAGTTGATTCGCACTTAAACCTTGTGTTGTTCCAGCAACGATCTGACCTGTTTGATTCCAACGTAGACTGTTACCTTAAATAATAGATTAAAATTTATATATATCTTATCATTTTTATATAAAATAACTAACAAGAACTAAATGCTGTTGTAGTTGCTGTTGCTAAATAAAAATAAATGAAAATTGTTAATAAATCATCGCGCATTTTGCGATAGATCTGACAGAGAAATTAAATTTCAAAAAAAAGAAACAAGTGCTGGTATGGATGTGATTGATATATCAATCTAACATTCTCACGCATGCTTTCAAAATGAAATATTTTATTCTCTATTATAATTTAAAAAAACTGCTATTGTATAGCACTATTAAAAATTTATCGTGACTAGTCGTAATCAGATTCTGCAGGAATAACAACAATGCTACTCCTTTAATTTATGATTATAAATATAAATAAAATATTCATAGAAAATGTAATGAACATTAATATCTGTAGATTTTCATTTCAGCATATGTTTGACTTACATGTTGTTGATGTCGTGCTAGTTGAACTGCTTGTTGTAGAAGTGCTTGTTGATGTTGATGTACTCGTACTTGAACTACTTGTAGAACTGCTTGTTGATGTACTTGTACTGGTTGTAGAGGTGCTTGTTGATGTACTCCTGCTTGAACTAGTTGAACTTGTTACTTAAATAAAAGAAAATTGTACGAAAAGCTAAAGAATGAGTCGTAGTTCTACTGTTTAGACTTCCACTAGATTCCTTTTGGACTTCATTTGTATATTAATCAAGGTATCATCCTGAGCCTTTCTACTGGGTCAAAATATTGAAATCTGACTTTTGAATTTTTTGTGCTTGAATACCTTCCAGAGGTCGAGAAAAATTTTTGTCTTTAATTTTGATCTCTAATATCATATTTTTATCAAAGTTGATTAGGCAATCAAAAAGTTGCCTAGGGCCTTCCCTATTCGATTCTATAGGATTTCACCTGAAAAATAATCTTTTTTCTGACTTATATGCCTCTGGAAAGTTCTCTATTAAATGATTCGATAACTTCAGTATTACTCAATTATTTGTTCGCTATCTAGTTGTGGAAGAATATCGAAGAATACTACTCGTATTCTTTCGATAATAGCTCCCTGCCACGAATAGTTTTGTACTACTTACAAAAGTTCATATAGCATAGTTTCATAGAAGAGTCTCGATCCACTTCGACACTTCTACTGTATATACAGTTTCATTTGCTCTTTGTTATGAATACATTTGTATGAGGAAAAAAGTGAACCGTCTATCCGAATATCTCTCATAATGCTCATCGACAGGTAAAAAATATGAAGATTATCTCAAAGTATCATCTTGTATTCTTTTCATGCAAAATACCATTTATAAATATTCAAAAAAGTTCTAAATAATCTGCTAGAAAATTTCACAAAATGCAGATCTAATGAATCAGACTGTCCTAGTCAATGTGATTTGATAGACTTCTGAAGATGAGTGTGGGTGTGAATACTATATCCATCTAGCACTCTCACTCACACTCTCAAATATATGGAAATTAACTAGAATAAATAGTTGGTTGTTGTCTATAGAAGTGTTAGATGAATTATTATCATACCTGTTGATAATGAAGATAATGTTGTTGCAGATGGTGTATTCGATGAAGTAACAAATGAGGCCGATACAGATGAACTACTTGATGAATTAGGGGATGATGTTGTTACAACTAAAAATATGAATGTCACATATGTAAAAATCTAAAAAAGATTTCCTAGATGTATGCTGCATGTTGAAGACGTGAATATGAGTATTCTAATTATCATCCATTCACTCTTATACCTGGATTTAGACCAATATCAGATCCTACTCTAACCATTCTTTTTTATTAAAATTCTCTCCACAAATCCGAAGTTTTGAATAGAACTAACTGTATTTATATATAAAAACCAAATCAACATTTGTATCTCATCTTAGGTTATTATTCAACCAAAAATGGTACTCAATTATCTGTTATTTCATTTGATGAATAAAAAGACCAAATAATCAACATTAAAACAATGATTTTAATTAGTACATACTTAATGTTTCCGTTGCTGTTGTTTTTGATGTCAACCAGAATGTGAGTACAATAGCTAAACCTATTCCACCAACTAATGATCCAACAGTACAATATTTAAAAAACGAAGTCCAGGCAAAGGATGTCTTCTTTTGATGAATTCTGTTATTAACATTTAAGATATATAAACATCTTAAAATCGATATTGTACTTACTGATTATTACCATCATCATCCGTCCAGACAATGCGTTCGATCGATGAATGACTTCCATGTGTGGTTGATTCTGGATCCGATGACCAGTCGGAGTATCGTGGATTCGCCATTATGTGTAATGTTAGTGGATTGGTAGCTGATTTTGATCTAAATTGAAAAAAGTACGTATATATATATATATGTTTTATATAATAAAAAATAATCAATAATGAGCCCATTTCCACGGCTTCACACATATAATGTAAATGTCATATTTTAAGTAAACAACATACTTCTTCATTCTAATCAAAACATTGGCCTCGAGAATAGAAAAAAAGTGTAACAGAATGCTTGTTCGATTGAAAAATTCATTTTTTATTAGAGATGGATGAGTTGGGTGTCACAATTGGAAGAAGGCAAGTGGGGGTGAGGTTGTGTTGCTCTATTAACTGAATTCACAAGTCGATAACTGACATGAGTTCGGAATTCCTAACAATTTTAACTTTTCTAAGTTTGTTAAATACACGTTCTTCATATACTAAAAAACGTAATATTGATAGTTATGTATAAATCGATTTTGACTTTAACATTTCTATACAAATAGGAATTTTTAAAAATAAATATATTCTGATAAAATTGTATGTTATTAGATACTGATTCAATTTAATTCTAAATTTTTTGTAAATTAATTCTTTGGCTATATGTGAACGATTGATTGTATTCTTTTACTGAGCATGTTAAATCTGCAATATACAATTAAAAGAACTGAAGTGTATATTTTCATGTTCGTGTCTCATTGTTTTATTACTTTTTACAGTATTTTCTACAGTAATATTTACAAAAAAAATCTTTTTATTTGATTATTGCTGTTCATGAATTAAAAAAATCGTATGTATAAGGTTTATAATCAATTATTCTATTCTCTTATCGAATGAAAAAATTGTGTTGAATTGTGAAATTCGAATTTTGTAATTAAGATGATAATAAATCTATAACAAGATCATTAGTTATCAAGCCAGATGTATTAAATTGGCTTCGATTTCGATTACATTTTGACTATTTGAATTTTCTTGCAAATAATTATTTTACATATTCAATAAAAAAATTCATATTGACGAGAAAAAAAGAATTGTTTGTCTTAAGTCTTTTCTTTTCTATATTTGAAACGATAGTTGCATATATAATACTAAGTTTTCATTTTATTTTATCCTACGTGATGTGAGAAAATTTATTGATAAAAATAATGGAGAAATTTCTCTCATCAATGACTAATTATTTCATTATGAATTTAATAATACCTGAACATCTTGAGGGTGTGGTGTGGGTGTGGATGAGAATGAGTTAGATGGGTAGGTGGGTGTGGATCAGGATAAAGTGAATACCCACACTCTCAAGTTGAATTAGACATAGAATCGATCAATTAGATATATACAAAGCCAAATATAATGTTACGGTCTTTCTATTATAATAAGAATTTTCAAGCACAGCTCACTATACTTTCACTGATAAACATGATAAAGTATAAAGTACGGGTGGCAGTTTTTTGAAACAATATTATTTGATTATTTGAAGAAAAATACTTCAATCAACATGTTTTATACAAGACAATCAGTTAGACTCGTTTTTGATATACCTCATTTGAATAACAAAAAGTAAAAATAGAACAATTTCGTTTATTATTATACAGCATAAAACTGAACTTATCGAAGTTTTAATTCTCTTTGTAGTAACAATGGTATGTCGCGCAAAGTTTGGTTGCACTGGCTCTTACAGGAATCAAATGCATAAAGATTAAACAAACAAATAAATTTTCTACTTTATTATTACAAAGCCATTTTGTTACTGAATTGATCAAATGAGAAGAACAATATTTTCCTTATCTACGAAGTAATTTTATTTTGAAAAAAAACTAGCTATTCATACCCATTCTATCCAGGTACACATGGAAGTGAGAGATAGATGAACAAAACAAAGAAGATGATGTAATACATCTTCTTTCTAACTATGTAAGAAGTAAATGAAAATGGAGAACAAAATAAGAAAAAGACAGAAGATGAGAATTTCAATATATTCTCATGAATGACAGGAAGAAGAGACAAAAAAATAATACGAATGTTGTTAGAATGTTCTCTAATATTCATACGTTAGATATTGAATGAGTTCATAGAAAAAAGATCAAAAATGTTAATGTTAACAACAGCAAACTTTGGCGCATGATCTTTTAACGGTGACGGTTTTCTTTCTGATGACTTTGCAACATGGTTTGCAGCAGCATACAGTTTTACGAACACAACAGCATGGACCACAACAACACGAACCACAGCAGCAATCACAACATGGATCACAACAACAATCACAGCAAGGATCACAGCAAGAGCAACAACAAGGATCACAACATGAACTACAACATGATTTACAGCACGAGCCACAGCCACAACCACATCCACATCCACAACCGCAACCGCATCCACAACCGCAACCACATCCACAGCCTGGCATATTAATAGTAATAATGTAGTAAAGAATAAAATTAGAGTACGATGAGAACTGGTTTATGAAACTATGAGAAAAGGTGTATCTATATATATAGAGGTAGAGTAACGAACAATATTGTTTCCAGTCAACAAAACAATTCACTACTGTTCTCACATGACAATAACTTAGATACACATGTGATAGAAAAATATATAGGAAAACATAAGTAACAATTTGTCACTATTCATGCAATACAACAAAAATATGAAATTCACACTTATTACCAATGTTTTTCTTTTTGATATGTTTTGATAGTGTCGAAAACATCTAAATTTAATTGCACTTTGATTTTGTGACCACAACTCTAAAAGGGTAAAAGTCATTTCATACACTTTTTTTTGATGAAAATAGTGCTAATCAAAAAAAACAAACTAAATATTTTTAGTGAAAAATATTGATTCTTACGTTCTAGTACACACGCACACTGTAATATCATCAAATTACATGAATATCATAACACAATGCAACATAAGAGAGAACAGTGAGAAAAATATATAATATATGAATACAATAACAATAAGAACACTCCTACTTTCACGTATCAGTTGCCAATGAATGAATGTTTCGATGATGCAAAGATGCGTAAAAGTGAATTCAATGAACATATTGTGGAAGTTAGAAATAATTTTTTCATATGAAAACATCCATTCAGCAACACTCTGGTTCGAAAATGATGCCCATAATTATATATTTGTTTGTCTTCGCATGATTTATTTTTCACTATATTTATTCATAGTGGATGTGAGTATGGTATGGAGACTCTATTCACCTAGCATCCACATTCACACACAGACACCCTCAAGAGATAAATAGTATTTGTTTACAATAAATAAACTAATACGCTAAGTGAGTAATAATTGAGAGTAAATAATGTATTCGTTCAGAAATTCAACGCTGATCTGGCTACTATAAAATAGTCGTTCCTAGAAACAGTATGAAATTCTTTGACCATGTTTCGTATTCGATGATCAATTTTTTCATATTTTGTGCGTTGGTCTTTGCCTTTGACTGATTTTATAAGAGACATATTTATAGCTTAGAAATTATTAAAATAATACGCACATATATATGTATACTTTCTTTTTATACTTTTATCTGATTTATTTTGTTTAGTTTTAATTTCATTTTGATACAAAAAGCAGGTTTGATATTAAAATTAGATCATCTTTTGGTTCTCATTAATATCTGTTACGCATTTTCGTAATAAACCAATCTCACTAACATAACGAAAGAAATTTTTTTGCGCGCAAGCGTCGTGCACGTTCATGTCGGCGCGCAAGTGCCGCGCGCGTTACTGACGTGTCACGTAAATATTCTATTATAATTTTTTTTTCTATCATTTATTTTTCTTTTGTTTCTTCTAAGGTAATGTTACTGCAATATTTCTCTATTTTTTAAAGCATGCACGACAAATGTTTCCTCATTTGACAAATCCAGCAAATTGGTAAATAGTGTATAAATAAAAAACCACCTTGAGGGTGCGATGAGAGTAAGGATGTTCTTTTAATACCGCATCCACACCCTCCGGAACGAATTGCAACGGATGAGGGTGAGTTTCAATTCTTGCGCAAAACAAGTGACGCAAATGCTTCATTTTTTTCTGCTTTTCTCCATGCATACACATGTGTTGACATTATAAAAATTATTTCAAGAGTCATTGAATGTACAGTAACAGAACTTCTTTCGCAAGCTGCAGTTAACAACATTTCAACTTTCTTTTCTTTCAACAGGGTTGAAATGAATTTGGAATGTTTAGCCAATGAAATATTACTTGATCTTTTTGAATATTTCAAAATTGAAGATCTTTTTCATACATTTTACAATATTAATTATCGATTTAATATTCTTCTTCTCAAATATTTTCACTCATATCATCTTGATTTTCAATCTATATCCAAATCTGATTTGCATGTTATATGTACAAAATATCTTCCATTAATTCGAAATCAAATTATTTCATTACGTTTTTCTGATGATAATAATACACCAGTACAATCAAAATATATTCCAATTTATTTTCCATCGTTTCTTCAACTTTCTCATTTACGTGCACTTTCATTCTACTGTATTAATTCTTCAAATCTCATGGAAAGATTAATAATTGAATGGCATCAATTACCATATCTTACGAATTTAAGTATCATTAATTGTAATTTTACAGTGAAAATTGATTTTCATACTATTATTAATAGTATTTGGAGTCTTGATCATTTAGTATACTGTTATTTAAATGATATATATGGCACATGGACAAATTTTATTGCCCCGGATGTCACATCATTATCAATGCAATATTTATCCTATAAAAATGGTTCTATGGATTGGAATGTATTACTAAAATTACTGAAAAATACACCTTATCTTCGATCTTTAAACACAAATATTATAGATTATTCTGAGCCTGGAAAAGAACTTTCAGTTAATACCACTTTCACGTTAACTCGATTGAGCGTATACATGAGAGTTACGACAAGTACGTTATTTTTTTGGAAATATTTACCAAATTTATCTCATCTAACAGTTCATATGGAACGATTTTATCTTGATGGAAAACAGTGGGAATATATTATTCGAACTTATTTACCTAAATTAAAAATATTTCGTCTATATATGGACTTAGCAGCGGATGACTGTAACCAGATAGAAGAATATGTCGATAGATTATTGAATTCATTCGAAGTTTATTTTGGCTTGAGGAACATCAATGGTATGTTCGATGTCATTGGGAGAAAATGCCAGAATCGAAAGGATGGCCAGGAATAGTATTAACTACTTTACCTAGTCGGATAAATCGTTCAGGCATTCTCAGTTCAAGTTGTTATAGATCAACTTGTCCTGATGATAATGTCTATAATTCATATGATCATGTAGAGGTTCTGTCGTATTCACGATTTTTTCATTTACATTCATTTTTATTTCCAAATATTCATCACTTAGATCTTCAAGATCCTGCTAACGATGAACTCTGGTCACATGTTTTCAATTTGCAAAAACTACAAATACTTACGTTTTATGCAGATAAACAATATGATCATCCTGAAAATGAATTGCAATTACTGCTTAATCGTATGCCGAATCTTCATACATTAGAATTATGTCTTGATGAGGATGAGATTGAATATAAACCGTTTTTCAACTTAAAACATAATTCTATTCGGTGTTTAGATTTTGCACACTATACATTTAATCGTGAAGAATGTGAAATATTGATTCATAGTCAATTAGGTCAAAAATGTGAAGTTCTTATGTTATCAATTAAACATCTCGATGATATACTTCAGTTAATTAATCAATTAAGAAATCTTCGATCATTAAAAATACGTTTATTGCAAGATGAGGATAGTCTATTGATTTCTTCTGAGAATGAACTGAACGAATGGTTAACACTTCATTTACCATCAATATGTGATTTCAGAATCCATAATGGTATCATGAATTTTTCATATACTTTTTATGTTTAGATTCGATGACTTAAAAAGCATAACTCTTTATTTTATTTATATACTGCGATTATAACTGAAAATAAAATAAATAACAAATAAAGACGTCATAAGGGTGTGGGGTGAGGGTAAGGATGAGTTTTGATTCTCGCTCAAAACAAGTGACGCAAATGTTTCATTTTTACTGCTTTTCTCCATGCATACACATGTGTTGCCATTGCAAATATTATTTCAAGAGTGATTGCAGACTGCAGTTAACAACATTTAGAGTTTCTTTTCTTGCAACAGGGTGGGTATAATAGAAAGAATCAATTCATTGGCGAAGTGAATTAAACAAAACAAATGTTGAATAGAAATCCATCATGTATTGAAGATCTAGCGAATGAACTTTGGCTTGAAATTTTTGATTATCTTGATTGGATTAATCTTTATTCAGCATTTTATGGTATCAACAAACGAATTAATCAATTACTTGAATACACTTTACTTATGTTTTACAGTAAAATTTTATTTTCGAACGATTTCTTTTTTTTTAAATATTTTCTTTTAAAGGGTGTGGGTGTGGGTGTAAGTGTAAAAAGTATCATTCATCACACACTCAAACCCACGCAGATCCGCACTCACCAGCCTCCACCCTGATCCTCCCACCCACACCCTTTTTGCTTGTCATCTGAAATAAATTTGTCGCTTGATTTCCGAATTGTTTCCTTCATTTTGTATTCTGATTTGATACTATTGGTTCTTGCTTCTGCACTTGATAACATTTGCCCGATAATATCTTCTTGAGTATGAAAATGATAATCGTCTCGATTGGTTATTGGCGCTATACAAAAATTAGAAAAAAACGTTTTCGGACTAATCATGGGAAGTATAGGATTGGTATTTAATTTATAGTTGGATATTATTAATACTAGTAATAGATGGAAATACTCTATTTAACCCTTTGAGTTCGGACGACGGGATTTCGTGTCCTGATATTTTGGGACTTGAATAATTCTAAAAGGCACGGTTTTGCTGATTATCTAACAACAAATATTGCATAAATGTTTGCATTTATGCTATTTGTACATTCAAATATGTTTATATATAGTGGAGATTGTTGGTTGCTCCTCAATGTATCTGACAATAGTCTATAATTAACTAGTTAGAATATAAACCAGTCTGATCGCACTTCTTACACAGAACTGTCAGTTACATAAAGATGTTTCGTCTTATAAGAACTCCTCAAAAATGCCATTTATCGAACAGAGCCTGATCAGTTGATCCTATCTGGCAAATATAACAAAGTGCATTTTCGGCATAAAATGTCACTGCGGACAAAATACAACTGGTTATTAGGTTTGCGCTAATACTGTGATGTGACTTAAGGCTAGAAAAAATACTTTGTATGAATGTATTGCCTTAAGGACTATAATACTTGGAAACTATTTTGAATTATACATCTCGTGATATTTTTTGCAGAGTAAACGTTGATTTGAAATTAGAAAACATTTACCGTATAAAAATAATCCCGGACTCAAAGGGTTGTCTAAGTGCGTGGATAATGAAAGGCACCGTTTTAAACTTTTTCTAACATTTTGATTTCTCTTTTTTTTTCTATTGAAGAATAATCTTACGTTCGCGTTTTACTTGTCTGCATTTTGTAGCATCATAGTTATTACATTGTTTCATTTCATTGATATTGACATAGTTGTCACTGTCAATCATCACAATACCATTGCAAAAATCAACGGCCTGATCACTCCAGCTATAATCAAGTTTTCCTTTAATCATTGATAAGAATAGTCCCATTCGTAGTGGACCACAGTTCTCGTCATATATCCGAGATTTCTTCATTAAAGACAACGCACGTTCAAGCCACTCATTGACTTCTTTTGAATAGGATTGCCACCCTGATGGAACATTGCGATCGAAAATAGGCAGATACCCTCCAGTATGACGATCGACTTTTAAAACCATTTCTGATTCATTGAACACCCAGTACCATTGCGGCTCGGTCGGAACATCGGCTGACGTTGAATTATCGGCGGCCATGTTGTAGAGAAAAAATGAAAACCTAGGTTGTCAACTACAGTGCAACTTTTTAATATTTATGAAAATAAAAAATATAAAGTGCACGCTTTCAATCGATCAATAATTTTTTTTTTCTTTTTCTTCGTTCTCTCGCATCGAGAAGAAAGAAATATTGTTTACCAAAGAGACTTCTAAGATTTTTACTAACAGAGAAAAAATTGCTTCAAAGCGATGTGAATAGTTTCAGTGTGGGTGTGGGTGAACGACTACAAAAGAACTTTCATTCACGTTTACACGCACACCCACATTCCTCAAGTTCAAAATATCATATAATAAGCTGCAACACTTTTCGTGTCTGTTATTCAATCATTGAAAATGGATTGTTTTTGATTGTCACCAAGTCATGTCGTTGACTTCCAACTGAAAAATGATTCAACGTTTTATATTATTGAGGTAATTGTTTTTGTATGATTTTTCCATTTCATTATACGTAAGTGAAACCTGTGCAAACAATGAGTTCGTCTACAACTATAATGCATAAATCTGCCAGGCACAATTTTGTTGGATTATTCTTTTCAAAAAAACGAATTCATGACTTTCATATTTGTGGTTGAATGCCTAGCAGAAAAAGTGCATTATAAGCATTTGATGACTCATGGGGGAAAAAATGCTTGATTCCAACTAGTGGTAGTATATAAACATTGATGAAAAGAGATTCGTTCATTCAGAGCAGTCATCCTATTCCAGAAAGTTACACATTCCGGAATCGCTTGGCTCACCCAACTTAACATAATTCAATTCCGGAATTCCTTGCATTCGATTCCTGCCTATTCCGGAATGCCTTGCATTCGATTTCTGCCTATACCGGAATTCCCTGCATTCGGTTCCTACCTATTCCGGAATTCCTGCACATTCCTACCAATTCCGGAATGGCTCGATCTATTGATATTTACGTAAAACTTAACATAGAGACCTTTCGTCGGTATGCAAGCACAATAGTGTGGGTGCGCGGGGAGCTCGGTCGATGGGCAAACACAATAGTGTGGGTGTGCGGGAGGCTTGGTCCGTGAAGAAGTACGCAATAGGCAGGAATTCCTGCCTATTCCGGGCGATTCCGGAAAAGCCGGACTGTGCTCGAATTCCGGAATTCCGCTACGGAATCGATTCGATTATTGAAGAAGATCATTTCTACATGAAGTTTAACTTGTGCAATTCCGGAAAAGCCGGAATTCCTGCCTATTCCGGGCGATTCCGGAAAAGCCGGACTGTGCACGAATTCCGGAATTCCGCTACGGAATGGAATAAGTCGCTCACCATGTTCATTTCTACATCAAGGATATCTTTCGTAATTCCGGAATCGGCAGGAATAGCATTAATCTGATGGTAGGAATTCCGGAATTGGCAGGAATCGAATTCGATCTGTTCCGGAAAAGGCAGGAATCGTATGCAAGGAATTCCGGAATTGAATGATGTGAAATTGGGTGGGTGCAGCGATTCCGGAATGTGTAACTTTTGGGAATAGGAAGCATTCTCTTCATTCACTAAACTATTACCATAGTTTTATAATCTCTTTCTTTATTATTCATACCTATCATCTATTTTTTAACAAATGACATTTCAACAGTGCCAGTATGAAGGTAGAATTGTGGACATACCTGTTCGGTGTATAAACAAGAACAGATATTTGTTCTTACAAGATGTTCATGATCATTTTATTGGTATTCGAAGATTTACACTGAAAGACAAACCAATACCATTCGTGAAAAACAACGATAATAGTCTTATATATCCACAACGAATTCTAGCTTCTACTCATGATGTTATTGATTGTCATACATCAACGCCTACAGACGAAGCTACCTTATCAAATACTTTAAATAAGATTTCGAATAATATTCAAATGTTTAACACAAAAATTGATGCTATTCAACGTCAAATATTTGAACAAGCAGAATACCCAATACCCCATCTTTTCATCGTACTACCAGAAGAAACATCTTTCAATCCTTCAACGTGGTTTTGTCATACATATCGTTTACATTTTCTATGTGACTGTGAAAACGAGAATGAACGTCATTTTGCTCTACATGACGGATATAAAATAAGCAAACCACATGAATTCTTTCGTAAATATGGACCTTATCTTCGACATATATTAACAGTAATTAAAGGTATGGCATGCGTCGGCAGCATCGTTCTTCCACAACTGTCATCAATCCATATGGGATTATCTAATTTTACTGCTTTACAGAAAAAGGAATTCTGTAATAGTATTATTGATAAAGCAGAGCGAGCAGGTGAGATTTTAACAAAAGTTGAAGAATGTCTGAATATTTCAACAGAAGCAATAATTCAAGAAGTAGATGGTGCTACACTACGACAAATTCGAAGGTATTTGGAAAAAGTGGATAATCATGATACGTTGAGAAATGTATACCGTTCTATTACCTCTGATGGTCATGTTCGATGGGTGTGTGTTAAACATCGCAATAGACCATATTTAAATGCGAATATTCAACAATTAGATGGAAAAATAAAAGAAGATGTGGCTTTGGTGAAGAAATTACACAAAGATAAGTTTGAAAAGTTCATCAAGTTGTTACATCAAGGATTAACATTTAGTACAATAAGTATGAAAAACTTAAAATTGACAAAAGATTTATTTTCAGAATTTCTTCATATCGTCTCAATGAAAAATAAGATTGATAAACTTGAACTCGAAAACATTTTCTTAACAAATTATGGAAGAGATATACCGAAACGAGACATCATTTCACAGCTTAACAATACAGTAAAAAGCGTTGGAAACCTTATCATTGAATATACATTTACAAAATCATTGGAAAAATTTTAATCAAAATTATTTAATGCTATCAAAGAAACAAATTCACGGCTGATATTTAAAATTCGACCAGCAGAAGTAACATCTTCATTGGAATTAACTGGAACAAATGAAGCTGGATTTACTCTATCTATAAAAAGTGATGACGAAACTGATGCAGTTAAATATTCTTCAGCCATTAACAATATGTTTGAAGAATTGAATATAGCAACACTTCATCTACACAATGCAATTCTTTCCGAAAGTCTTTGGAATACTATCCGTCAATTGGTTGTTGACAGTCAAAATCTAGAAGAAATGATTATGGACTGTCCTTCAACATTAAACGAAACTCAAGAATGGATCTTTTCTCTTTGTAAAAATGAAAGCTTAAAAGTATTACATACAATGAATGGACCAAAACAAGCGAATGTTTGTGTAGAAATTTTTCAAATGTTGAAAGAAAAAGACACTTTGGAAAAATTTTCTCTCACGTCTTCTACTTATCGCCTTCAACTTGATTTTATTTCTGCATCATCACAAAACAGGTATTCAACGTTAATTAGAATTGCTAAATGGTGTACCAATAACAATAGTGATGTTCTAATTATTAAGAAGTTTCTTCAAATTATACCAGTTCATCATCTGTCATTGGACTTGGCGAATATCAATTGTGAAACATCACTTACACAATTACCAGAGACTATTAATCAACTACCGTTATTAAAAACTCTTGAACTTCAAAGCAAAACTAGTTGTGCAGTTTTTCATCGAGAAAAACGGATTTTCAACAGAGAAAGTAGCGTACATGAATCTGAGTTGCTGCCCTATGTACAGTATAGGAAACCTTCTTTACGCAAAAAATTCAAAAGGTATCTATCATTTCTTAGCTGTATTAGTCCTAAATATTATCATTCATCTCAGGAAGAAAGCAGTAATCCTCGACTACAGATTTCCAATGAAAGAGCAATGCCTATTGAACCTTTCTCTCACATTTCCTCAAATCCACTTTATAAACAAATACAAGAAATTGCACTCAATTTTACACTAAAACAATTCCAAATTACTATTAGTCCTGATGTAAACATAAGTCACATTGCTTCAAGTATACAATCAAATTCAACAGTAACTCATCTACGATTTGTTGGACGAATAGAAGAGACTGATATGACGACATTAATTAAAGCTTTTCGTAAGAATACGATAATATCTCATTTATCTTTGAAAGAAATTGAGATTTCACTTCTTAATCTTCGTCAAATCTTGGATATGTCCTATGTTAATCGAAGATTACGAGTATTAGAAATTCATCATTGTACATCTGATTTTGATCGAAAATTATTTCAACAAGAAATTAAACAATCACGTTCTGAGAATCGTGCTTTACAAATTTTTGTTTGAAAATTCAAAATTTAAGCCTGTGCATGATTTTTTTAATCTTTTATGTTATTTTTATATTTTATTAGAAAAGACTTTTTATGTAATATAATATTTGATTTTTTTAAATAGAAAGAACAAAATAATTTATTCTTAAAACAAGTTTATATCACCAAGTATCTATACTCTCAGTTCAACCCACATCCACCCTCAACAGAAAAAAATCGATTATTTTTAGGAGAGAAAGGTCATCATATTCTGTTTAATTTTTGACTAGGCAGAATCGAAATTTATGTTTTGTCTACAATGCATAAAGTTTAACAAAGTGAATGTATAGTCAGCGCTTTGATCGGATTGGTGAACTGAAGTAGAATAAAGACACTATATAATGTTCGCGATTCATATAAAAAAGCAGTAGAAAAGAAATGAATTCTCCGAGAATTATTAGATTAGAGGATTTACCTGTGGAAATATTAATGGAAATATTTATTTATTTTACAGCTGATCAAATTTATTTCTCATTTTCTCAATTCAATAATTTGAGAAAGGGTGTGGGTGTGAGGTGGGATGTGAGTGAAAGATGAATGAAACACCTGCACCTATCCCTGAGCAAGAATATGAAGTATTGTGCAAGTACATGTAGTTCGTCGAACAAATTTAACTGTATTTAAAGATATGAAGTTTAATATTTAATGAACTGTGGAAAAATCTATCCACCATGCAAATACAATAAGCCAAATGGCCAATGTTCGAGTAAAAAAAAATAAGTATATTTGAAGTTGGGTTAATATTAAAAATACCGACAAGAGTACAACATGGAACAGTAATAAGTACAACAAAGAAATTGATGCAAGTAACTGTTAAAAAATAAATACAGCAAGAATTCGATTGAAATGAACGATGAGTGAAGATAATCTACTTTTCCTTTTTTTTATTTTTATGGTTGATAGATATAATAAATAAGAAAGAAAAAACATGTAAGTTAGTAAGTGTAGATAAAAGAGAATTGGTAGTTTTTCTTCTGTGATTGCATTTTCTCTGTTTATTGAAGTTCAAAGGGTTTGTGACGGAAAGGATAAAGACATTGATAAGACCCACACCCACACCGAATATTCTAGTTTTCATGTTGTAAAAACGATCATCTGGACTATTACACTTGCATTTCTTAGGTTTTCCAGTTGAAGAGACCGGTCGATGATTTGATCATGTTCGATAGATATTTACCCAAACAGGTTTCTTTCAAAAATATATTATAATACTGGCTCGAAGGTACAATATAGAGAAAGAAAATACTTGTTTGTGGTGCGAATGCGATGTAGTAGCTAAGCAAAGTTATTTTGGAGAACCATGCATTGGTATCATAATCACAAGCATTCAGAAAAAGTATCACGATCCCAGCTAACTGTGCTATAAAACAAAAAATCGGACCTAGCAGGAGATCGATTAGTTTGCGTGTTTCATCGATCAGAGCATTGTGTGCGGATTTTCCATGAGCGTGCACCTTTGATCGAGTGATTGTCAAAATGATGATTAATGCTGCGGTAATGTTAACCAGGAAAGGAAGTGCTTGATGAGTCAAAGCCAAAATTTGTGTCAATACTTGCTCATTCGGTGGAATTTCACGAATACACCAAGGAAGTGAATAGTCAGGATGATTGACTAATTTGTATTGAGTGATAAATATGTAATTCGAACTTGAAACAATCAATACAATCCCCAAGGTCAATGAGACTGCTTTCTTTGGCTCTTGCAACGAAGACCATCCAGAATATTGCACTGCGGCCAATGCTCTTTGTACTGTAACGATAGCCATTAACCATAACGTGACATAGTAGAAAGTATACATGAGCATGGGTAGACTCTTGCATATTACTGTATTTATTCCATCCAAAATTATGATACGTCGTACCATATAGAGATAGCTAATCCGTACAAGCAACAATATCAGCACCAACAAACTAAACACTGACGTTGCCAGAAGATGAAGAGCTACTCCATTGTTACGAAGTTTTCGTTGTGCGAAAGTGATGATGGACAGACTGTTAAAGAACATTCCGACGATGAAGAGGATTATCGGTGCTATAAAATGTCCGCGACCCCAATCTGTTTTCTCAATGAGAAATTCTAGCGAGATAGAGAAACGACTAGGTGAAAACTGGCACAGCACACCTGTGACACATTTTGGGCATACACAAGTAAAATCAGTTCTGTTTGTTAGATCACCTTGAACACAATGACCTTGATTTTGACAATAACTACATACCGTGTAACGGCGTTGATAGGAAAGACAATTACTGTGATTTTTATTCGGATAACCACAATAACAGAGATATCCATCAGATATAAAGCAAGAACCATAGGTGGAACTTTGGCAAAAATTGCCAAACAAGGTAACAGCATGTCTTTGATTTTTGGGTAGAACATGACATTTGTTTAGTTGTTGATCAAGATCAACAGAAAAGTTTCGCATCGCATTAGAGCAATTGATAAAAAGCAAATATAATGTAGTCTCGATCGAATGTGCATTTGGTTCAAAAGTAAAGAGTAATCCAATTTCAGGTTGTTCTCCAATTGTAAAACGACTATCACGCGTTTTAATCGTTTGAGTCAATGGAAACGAGGTCAGTGGTTGACCGAGGATTTGCTGACGAATTGTCGGATAGTCTCCTGCAAGCTGGAGTAATTGCAAAAGAAACGGTGACTGATTTGGCTCTTGTCGATGAATACTAATCATTGGTTTGTAAATATTACAATTGGATGTGTTACAGATACAAATATGTCCATAGATAGGAGGATGTGATCGTGGAATGCAAGTTTCATTCAGTTCACAGTTGTGTTGTTGACATTTTAGGTTCTGAACGTAACAGTAAGGTTCGAGGTAGCCTTGCGGACAAACACAGATAGTTTCTGTTCGTGCTAGTGAATGTGATCCACAATGAATGTACTCAGTTCTCATCTCGCACAGTTTACCTTTCCAACCGTATGCACAAATGCAGAGAAATCGATTGTCTTCTCGTTGGTGACAGGTACCATTGTTTTTACAATAGTTGTGTGAACAAAGCCAGGGAAATGAGCGAGCAGGAAATCGAAGCACTTTGGCAATACGTAGTACAGGCAAAAAGTCTAGTGGACTGATAAGATATTCCCAGAAATGGATTAATTCTGTAGAATGATAGGTCTCAATTCGAACAGAAAAGGTGCCCGGTGGTTTCGGACGAGGATAGATCAAGTGGGTCATAGACTTTGATGAGTATTCTTTGGCTACATCCAAAAAAAATCGATGATCAACTACTGTGCTTCCGTTCAGAACAAGTGTGACAAGAACATTCAAAATAAATGGAAGATCAGGACGGTGCCCTCGGTCGAAACGAAGTCGAATGCCTACTCGTCGACTGTCGTATTGACAACGATCGCCGTAAAAAGTCGGCGGACAAAAGCAGATGAATTCTGAGCTGTCGACTGCTTGCAGATAAAAACCTCGATTACAGTAAAAGTATCGATCACCTAATGCTTTCACTTGTTGATTTGAGGATGGCGATGGAATTGCAAATTTGATGTGGGATTCCAACTGATTGTAACATCTTTTCTTATTATCAAATACCGATCTGTCCTTACTTGAGCGATAGACATAATTTTCACTGTTTGAACTCGGGCACCAGAAATAATGAGATTTATCTTTGCATGTCGTTTCTGCTATACATCTCGTAGTCTTGCAACCATTTCGATCTGCACAAGAAAACTGGCCAGCAGGACAATAGCCAGTATTCCAAAAGCAAATTGACTCATCAGTTTCGTCTGCGCAGTCCTTGATCCCATTGCATACTGCCATGTGATCGACGCATTTCCTTCCATTATCGCATAAGAAACGATCACCAACCATCCGATGATCAGGACACGAAGCAACATTACGTTCATCACGAGCTCCAATACAATCAATATGCCCGTCACCCACTTGATGCCAAGAAATACAAGAACGATTCAAACTTTGATTCTTGATATACTCATCAGTGATGCAAAAATACTCAGTACGAGTGTTACAGTTCAGTTCAAATTTCCATTTCAGTGATATCTGAGAACAATTGACTTCATCCTCGCCATCATCACAATCTAGTTCTCCATCACAAAACGATTTCGGTTCGATACACTGCCCTGATCGATTACATTTATATAAGCCAGTGTCACACATCCAATGTGAGCAGTTCTTTTCGTCTAGACCATCCATCATATCCCAAACCGAATCACAGTAACGATGAAAATGAAGTCGAACGTCTTTTAGACGATTCTCTCTGAATTGATCGCCTTGAAAAACCCAACACGCATAATTATCATTCACATCACATTTGAAAGTTGACCAGCGTATCTCATTGGATACTTCATCACTTCCGTCGGCACAATCATTCACACCATCACCTAATTTAGCATAGCTGACATATTGAGATGGAGATGTGACAGTTTGACATTGATAACGAAACAGTTGAGTCATTGGATAATCGGGGTTTCTCTCATCATCGCCATAAAGACAATCGATATAACCATCATTGACTCGACGTAATGATAGGCGATCTGATGTATTTCTGCATCGATATAACGATGGTGAGATTGATGAATCCAAATCATTTTCAGTTTTCATATTACTCAACGATTCATTCATTATTTTTTGACAAATTAAATGAAAGAGTGGAAAAAAGGGGTAAGAGATGAGTTCTTGCAATTCTTGATGACTGAACCAGATTTTTTCCGATGTATTTAACGGTATCCCGTCGCAGACAATGATACCAGTGAAATAGTATAGATCAGGTGTCTTCGGTATTGGTTTATATAAATTACTTGGATTGCTGACGAATATTTGGATACGAGAGCGATTGTAGATCATTTTCAAACCTGGAAAGAAAGCATTTTGTTCTGAATACAGGATGAGATCATCACAACGCGTTCTGAAATTAATAATGGCAAGATCCCTGAATTGCTGAGGAGGATGAGTTTGTAGTAAATGTCCAAGAGTTTGTCGACAGCCTGAACTGTTCGTTACAGGAGGGACAAGTTCCATCGTTTGTTTGCAGATGCCAGACCATACTCCACGAGTCTCAAAGAGCAAGTTTGATATTTCACAAATGTAGGCGAGATCACGGTAGTTACCACAATCTTTCTGGTCGCTCAGAATTGCTGACCATCGAATGCACTCACCATTTCCACATGAAAACTGGTCTTTATGACACAGTCGATCATCGCACTCGAACGTCGACTGCGTTGCGCAGTTATCGTACCGTTTGTAGAGTTCATCAAGAGCTTGCTCATCACTCCAATCCATACAATCAGGCATTGCATCGAAGGCAAACTCGATTGGAATACACATTCCATTACGGCATTGAAATTCATTTATTTCACATTTGGAAAATTCCAGCAGATGACAATCAAGCTCGTCAGCCCCATTTGCACACTGAGTGAACCCATCACAAATATGTCGCCACTCGAGAAACATATCTGCTCCTGTACATATGATTCCATCCACGAGTCTTGTAAGTGTTTCGTAATTATTTAAAAACACTACGGACATCTGGCGATCTAACCACTGACCAGGCGTAATCTTCCTCGAATCAAAATTGTATTCACAATACCTGCCAATCCGATTCTGACTACAGTTGCAGATCGTTGCTTCAGTTGCACGAGTATTTTCATTAGCATCTAAATGAGCAGCGTATTGTTCAATTAAATGGAAAGGTATTAACCAATCCATTAATTTTTCAGTTGTCACGTTGCACTTCTCCAACTTGTCGAAAGTCCATGAATCCCCGTCCTGGCATGATTCATTAATGGTATCAACTGTGACTGAACGACAGTAATAACGGAAGTCAATGATAAAGCATTCTGTATGAGTTTTGTCTTTCGAGTAGATCATCCAACGATGACTAAAATCTTCCTCCATGGACAATCTCAATAAGCTGTAAATCAGTGTGATCCAAACTTGTGAATTATACATGTCTTTATTTCACTTTACTTGAATATATACTGACAGCTAAGATCACAAGCAGACTGTACGATTTACAACAAAGTTAAATTTGATTTAACCAACGAACCATCTTTCTGAAACAACTAATACTTCAATGCGTCAATTATTTTGCTTAGTTTAGATTTGCTTTATATTGATTCGGTCTAGTGTATTTTGTCTCAAATAACTTTCTCGAGCTATTTAATCTCATTCAACATTTATCACGTCTTTTATTCTAATAAACGATTTCCTGACAGACAAAAACTTTTTCTCTTTAACAGCACACTCTGTTGATGTGTTGTGATAATCATTGATTACTCGCGACTTTATTGCTCTTTCATTGGTGAGATTGTAGCTGAAGATATGGGTATGGGTGAAGGTATAGCTGTGGATTTCAATGTGGGTGAGAGTATAGCTGCGGGTTTGGATGCGGGTGAAGGTATGGGTGAGTGTATGACTGTGGATTGGGTGTGGTTGAGGACATGGCTGAGAGTATAGCGGTGGATTTGGGCATGGGTGAGAGTATAGCTGTGGATTTGGGTGTGGGTGTTGGTATGGTTGTGAGTACCTCTTCTCTTAGCTTCTCTCACACCCCACACCCACACTCTCAAGACACTATAATTTACAACAATGAAATAACAAAAACGAAGATATATTGAGCTTGTTTTACTCACATAGATAAACTTTCTTTCTATACGTAGCATTTTCTCATGGGCATCTACTATCGTGTAAGCATAGCTGTGTATGAGGTCAAAATGTATTATTTACAACTGTATTCAAAACTCTACTTGTAAAACAATCAATTCAAAATCTAACACAGAAATGTCTCGGTGTGGGTATGACTATTAGTGTTGTATCTAATCAATACCCATGCTCTGGAAAGATGATTTTGTCCCCTATTCTATTGCTGATACTTGCTCGTAGAATATTTCACATAGCTGTGGTTTTTCGTATTCCAAATTTCTAACAAGGAAACAATTCTCGTTAAAGGCAAAAACAGCATCATTACGATGGACAAAAAAGACACCGTTCTGTAAACAAAACTGTTTAGTTTTGTATCACTCGGAGATTAGAAAAACTATCTAACAATGAATGCATTGAACAAATTTATTTCGATCTATTTAAAATGGTCCAATCTCGTTCAATTACAATAGCGACATCTATATTGAAACGAAATCCTTACGAATATGAAGAGAATACTATGCAAAAATTATTTTTAATTTTCTATTGCGTTAATTAATTGATAAGTTGAAATTAACTACCTAAGAATCGATGATTAAGCACTATTTATCGTCGATTTTAGAAATCACCTCGGCATGGGTATATTTTTCTAGGACGAAAACATAAACATTGTCGCCGACTAGACGAACGTAGAGGTGTAAGCCGGTAGGGTCATCGGCGGCGGCGCCAAGTTTTAAAATTTTTTTTTAAATGTTCGGCGGCGCGGCTGTGAAATTTGAAGGTTGCCAGCTGGCGGCGGCTCGAAAATTTTAAAATTTCGAATGCCATCGGCGGCGC